TTTAATCTCTGATAAAACTGCTTGGAAAGCACTAATAGCGCCTTCTCACAGCTGCGAGGGAGATCGGGTGATAGATGTACCTAGAAGGGGGATCGCTTGTTTAGATTCCCAGATTGAAAAAATAAACCGCACCAGGCCCACGCTTCGTGTCACCATGGGAAGGCTGCAACCAGAGCTTATCAGGGCGGATCCACCCCCCTCGCCCACCCGCCTCTGCAGCTGCCCACGGCCACCCTGGCTGTTCGCGGTGGCTGCGGGCACGGACGCTGTGGCAAACCTGACCTTGGCGGCTGTGTGAGGGACGCTCTGTGACACAGGAATGCGGTCTTGGCATTGGAGGGATGCCAGCCGGCTTCCTAGAACATAGGGTGGATGTCAGGCTCTGATGTGCTCCGTCGAGGGGTCCAGACCCTGGCCCCGCCCTTGCTGTGTGTCCTCGGGCCAGTGACTTAACTTCTCTGGTCTGGGACTCCTCATTTGAAAACGGGGGAGTTGAATGACCTACCTCCGGGAGTGGTGTCTTACAACGCACAGTCCCACGCGGGTGGATCCCGCCACGCAGTGAGCTGGATTTCCCAGTGGCTTGTGTTTGTTCTTGCTTTGAATCCAGGAGCGGGGACACTCGTGAGGGGCGAGAGATGAAACCTGGGCCTTTGAACACACTGCTGGCTATGGGGTCCCTGCAGCTGGCGCCAGGGAGTGTCTTCTGCTGTAAACCGGACCCCGAGTGCACCCCAACACCTGGCTGTGCCGGGGCCCCTGGCGGTTCACACACCCACTCCAGCCTCCGCTTCCCCACCTGTGAGGAGGGCACAGTGGCGTCTCCGGGGGTTCAGGGAGAGGCGTCTCCGGGGGTCAGGGAGAGGTGTCTCCGGGGGTTCAGGGAGAGGCGTCTCTGGGGGTCAGGGAGAGGCGTCTCCGGGGGTTCAGGGAGAGGGAAGTGACTTGACCAAGTGGAAGCCCTTGGGTCTAGCGAACCACAGCTGATGAAAAGGGGAAGTGGAGAACGGAGAAGCAGTGCAGCTTTAAGAGCTGTCGGACGCTCTGCGGGGCTGCAGTCTGCAGGCGGCGGGGCAGGGCGGGGAGTTAGCTCGGTGCAGCCATGAGATGCAGGGTCTGGGCCCGAGGACCCTCTCCAGCCTGTGCTGGCGCCCCCAGGGGTCTCCTTGCT